TTAACTCCATATATAATTGAGATTTGTTTCATGATTTATTAGCTAATAATTGTTTATTGTCAACATTAATTTTTAATTCTTTTTAATATTTTTTTTATAAATGAAATCAAAATGTAAAAAAAAGAGCTAATTTTGTTAAAGTATTAAATATTGCAAAATCCAAATTTCTGTAAATACTAAAATGTTATAAACAACCATCGATTGTTTGTTTCCTTTCTCTATCGAAATCTTGTTTTCTTCTCTCATTCTCTGTAATGAAGTTTTGTTGTCATTCATTTTTTTATAATAAATAATTGCGTTTTTCCTTTTTAAAACTTAATAAATATTTTGGTTACAGAAACAACAATACTGTATATTAATAGTTACCGCACATTTGACTATTTCTCCGCCGTGTTACGAAGGGTTCCCATTTGTCAATTTCATTGATTTTACTTAGTCAAAACATATCTACTACTTAAGGTCAAACGATGAATATCATTTTTGTGTGTACATTTATAAGAATATCATTTAGGGGTATCCATTTACAAAAATACTATTAATTATAGATTTATAGAGCATATATCTTAAAATTCTGAACTCTAAAACATGTTTTGACACCTAAAACACCCTAAACATTCAAAACTAAACCATATTAGAACATAATTAACCCAAACATAAATAATATAAAAAAAAAATTTGAAAAAATGATATTTTTGTAAAAATTTTAAAAGTGTGGTATTTTTTATAAAATAGCACTTGAAAAGTGGCATTTTTAAAAATTTCTCAACAAACTACAAAGATGAAATTCGAATATAGTCCTTAAACGCGTCTAGTTACGTACCTATCTACTAGTTGTAAACATGTTTTTATTTTTTTGGTCGTGAACATGTTTCTTTTTTTAATAAATTTGTAAATGTTATGAATAAGAGAAAGAGAGAAGGAATTGTGTTGTCTTAATTCATGAATAATACAGAGTATATATAGGGTTACAAAACTTGGGGAGGAAGTACAACTTGGAGAAGAGGTAAGTTTAAAAGGTTCTAGAATATGGACCTATAATGGACATCCACATAATGGGTTTATAACA